GAAAGAAAGAGAAAAAGAAAGAAAGAGAGAAAGAAAGAAAGAAAGAAAGAAAGAAAGAAAGAAAGAAAGAAAAAGAAAGAAAGAAAAAGGAAAGGAAAGGAAGGGAAGGGAAGGGAAGGAAGGAAGGAAGGAAGGAAGGAAGGAAGGAAGGAAGGAAGGAAATCGTGTAAAGAACATACATGCTTGTCACTTTCATGGATTTCTTCATGTAATTCACACAGTGATGCAGTGAAAAAAGTATTGTTATCCCCATTTTACGAGTGAAGAAATTGAGGCTTGGAAAGGTGAAAAAAACTCACCCCAGGTCACACAGGGAGCAAGTAGTTTGCCCAGGTCACACAACTAGCTTGGGCAGGGTTGTGACATAAATCCAAGTGTGACTACTCCAAAATCCATGTTCTTTCCATGACACCAGAATGTTGTATGCCGTGTATGTGGTGTTGTATGCTTATACTCACATCATCACTTTAGCCTCTTCGATGAAATCCTCCTCGGACATGGAGCCTTCGCTGATGGCCTTGATAGCTACCCGGATGTGCGCTCGCCATTCACCTAAATGGACCACCCCAAACTGACCGCTTCCAATCTCCTTTACAAAAGCCAACTCAGCAGGATCTATCTCCCACTTTTCTAGAAAAGTAAAACATCCATGTTACAAGTAGGGAAAAATTTTAGCTAGAAGAGATTCAGGAATTATCTAGACCTATTCTATTCTTTCACAAAGAGGTTAAAAATTTTATCAGTGAGGGCAGCAGAACCGTAACCATTGTTAATAATCTCATGGTCATTTACATGTGTAATTCCAGAATTCAAGTTTAAACATACAAACTTGACTTGCTTGGAGAGGAATTACGGATATCAAAACACTTTCTCTTTCCAGAGAGACCCAAGTTAAAAGGCAACACTTTGCCTTTCTGTACCAAACCTACCAAAATTAGACCTGGCCCCAAGAATATGTATGTCCCCATCTGTTTTTGTCCTGCTGAGTAAACTTGTGAGGCACAGAACATTTTGTTCCCCACCTCGCCCCCTATATCACTCCTCTGCTCACTTCCACCCCTAAAGGGCTTTTCTGCCTTGGTGTCTTCTAGAGAAAAGCCTAACAAATTCACCTAATAAATACGTGCACTGCTAGGATTCTAACTCACATATATCTAAGTGTATGTTTGAAGTGAAATTTGTGTTATGGTATATTTCACTTCCATAGAAGCCAAATGAGGAAAAAAGAACTGTTTTTAAAATAACCCTCTTGAAAACACTTGGGAAGGATCAAATCTTTCCTTTTCAGTATCTCCTTTTGCATAGCAACACCGCCATCTGCTGGAACTTTAGAATAATGTAGTTAAAAGAATTGTAGAGGCTAATGACCCTTATACCAGCTTTGCAAAGTGCTCCCCCTCCCAGTAGTAGGGCGTGTTTTAAAAGTAACACGGGAGAATATATTTATGACTTTGATATTGGCATAAATTTATTCAACAGAATATAATCCTAAAGGAAAATATTGACAAATCACCCTTCATAAAAATCCTGTTCATCAATTGCACCCCGTTAAGAGAGGGAAAAGGTAAGCCACAGATCGGGAGAAGATATCTCTAAAACATGTAACCAGTAAAGAATGGCTATTCAGAATATGAAAAATCAATTAGAAAAAGGCAGATAACTATATTTTTAAGGGTTAAAAAGCCTGAATAGAGTGTCTTTCACAAAAGAGAATACCCAAATGGCCATTCAAGCTATAAAAAGTTGATCAAAATAATCAGTCATCAGGGAAATGCAAATTTAAACCACGATGAGATACCACTCCTACACACAGCAGATTGGCTAACGTGAAAACCAAAGAAAAGAATCCACAAAAATACTAAATATTGGCAAAGGTGTGGAGCAACTAGAATGCCCCTATGCTATTGATTGAGGTGTAATTTGGCATAAGCTTTTTGGAAAACAAACTACATCTGAGTGTGTACATACATACTCTAGAACCCAGCAATTCTACTTTTGAGTATATATCCAACACTGTTGGAGCTTAAATGTGTACTGAACTTCATCAAAGACATGCAAGAATGTCCATAATGATGTTATTTATGAGATAAAAATTGGTTTCAACCCAACTGGCCATCTAACGAAGGATGGGTAAATCAACTGTGGTATAGTCATGCAATGTCGCACTATACCACATTGGAGATGGACCAACCACACCCAATATCACGGGTGAAGAAGAAGAAGCCAGATACAAATGCATGGTGTCTTATTCCATTTATATTAAATAGTCAAAAACAGGGAAAACTAATTGAGCTATAGAGTTATGAGTTGTGCACTGTTCTACATGTTAAAAAATTGAGTTTATTTTTAAAAAGTTAAACGGGACTATGCTTAACTTAAATAAACAGCTAATGGCAGAACTTTTATTATATACATTGTATTAAGGGCAGAGGAATAACCCAGGACCCATAAGACCCTGAATCATTCTCCCATCCTAATTAAAATAGAGACCCCGAGTCCTGATACACTATATAATTATGTGATCATTTTTTCAGTATTTTCTGTTTCTCACTAATGAGAGAAATTTAAGGGAATAAAATGTCACCAAATTACAGAACAGAATTCTTTGGCTCTTCTTTATTGTCACGGATTTGCAGATACACATCTGCTAGAAAATAGTTCAAATTAAACTTTCTACGGGTTGTACTTTAAAAAGGTGAAGAGGACACTTTGGACAGCTCTTTTTAGCAGGTTCTCTTGGAGAACAGTCATTTTCCAGCCACCCTTGTACCCAGAGAGCAACAGCTCAAACAGCCAAATAAAAAGAATTCTAATTTATCAAAAGAACGCCTGTTTAATGTATAATGAAATTTGAAGTAAAATTGAAACATTTCTTTCCGAAGTTCAAATTGCTCTTGTGAAATGCATATATTTAAGTATATCAGAAGGGGGACTTAAACGGTGAAAGGAAACCTATCTGGACATCTCAGAAAAGCTAAGAATTTAAAGAACGTAGAGGGAACGTGGAGTAGATTCTTTACGGGATTTGATATTGTACTTGGGTGCATGCGCATACATTACCGTAGCTAAAACCAGCTGTGGCTGGCAAACAGCTGCCCATCAGTCCGACTGGGTAGCGGAGACGGCTCATGAGGCCTGGGGAGACACAGAAATTGGCATTTCAAGCCTACTTACTAACATAAAAGAAAAAAAACAATGTATTAGATGACGATGCCAGTCTTCAAATAAATTAGGCGGGAAAGTATTCTCCATTAGCCTATTTACTTGTTTTCCCCATTTTTCATAAAATAATATTTGCTCATTGGACACACATCTTTTTAATTTATTTTTTTATTATTATTAACATATAATGTATTATTTGTTTCAGGGTGGAAACACATTTTAAAATCCAAGAAAATTTAAAGACAAAGTAAAGATCTCACTAAATCTTAGCAGCCAGAGATGCACTGTTATCATTCTGGTGAACACCTCTGCAAAATTCTCTGTATATGTACTTGAAAGCATATACACACCCAATATGTTTCACAGAAAAGTAAATGTCTTGCTATAAGCTTTGTACACTCAATATGTCATTGATACACGTCAGTGACTATAAATAGAGCTTAAAGTTACTTCTAAGATGCCACTATTGTAAAATATGCTGTATGTTTTTGAACATAAACTTTTAGGTACCTCTCAAATTATTGCCTTAGGGATAAATTCCTTAAAATGTGATTTCTTGATCAAAGCACATATAGAAAAACTGTACTAATTCATTCAACCACCAACAGTGTTTAAGGGTACCCATTTCCTGACTCCACTTTTTGAGAGTAGTTTTTTTAATAACATGGTAGCATAAATGAGACTTCTTTTGATTGGGTCAACATGTAGTATTCTGTTCCATCAATTTCAATTTAGTTCAACAAGCCTTTGTTATTTATTTCCCCAACTAATGTTTATTTGGGGCCTGCTTTGTGCCAAGCACCATCTAGATGGTGGGAGACAGCAGTGAAGCAGTGAGTAAGCCAGTGGTGGGCCCTGCTCCTGTAGAGCTTGCAGTTTGGTGGGGGAAGAGAAAATAAACAAGTACATGCACACTCAAGAAGAAACAGAAGATGATGAGTGGTAAGCAGAGGAGATACAATACAGCTTCTATCGAGTGAGCGCTCCGGGAAGGCCTCTCTGACAAGATGAGAGCTATGCTGACATCAACCAATAAGGAGCCATCTTACAAAGATCAGGAGGAAGAGCATTCTGGACAGATGGAACAGAATGTGCAAAGGCTGGAAGACAGAAAGCAATGTGGCCAGTATAAGAAGAGAAAAAAGCATCATTAAGTGCCTCATTGTGTGCAAGACACTCTTCTAGGTAGATCTCCAAGATTCTGGAGGACCAAAGATGAATAAGGTGAGGACTCTGTACTCAGGGGCTCAATCTCAGTGAGGGAAGACAGGCAGAGAAAGGCCATTCCAATATATGAGGAATAAATCCTGTGCTGGAGATACACAAGATGCTCCAGGACACAGCACCTCACACATTTTTGGATTCGAAGAAGTCTTCTGGAAAGAAATGATACCTGAGATGAATATGGCAAGTGGAGTTAAGCCATGAAGAGAATCTCCAGGCAGAGGTAACAGCGTGAGATGATACCTAGAGGTATGAAGCAGGATGGGCTACTTGAGCAAAAGGTGAGAGATAGAAGAGGCAAGAAATTACACTTGAGAGATAGGTAATATTCTGGTTATGATGGGCCTTGTAAGCCATGTTAGGGAACATTACATCATCCTGCAGGTGAGAAGGAGCCATTGAAAGTTCCCAAATAAGGGAGTGGCATGGTCAGATTTACATTTTTGGTAGATCATTCTGACATCAGCATAGAGGATGGATTGAGGGTAAGTCAACATTGAAGACAAGACCAGTTAAGAGGCCATTACAGTTGTCCAAGTGAACAATGATTAGAGCAGCACTAGAAGACAAAGAGAGGCAAGAACCTATATGAGACACACTTAGGATATGAAATTCATTGCACTTGATAATTAACCAGAAGTTGTAGAACAAATAGTATTAAAATTTGTATGGAATCGCAAAAGGCCCTGAATAACCAAAGCAGTCTTGAGAGAGAAAAACAAAGCTGGAGGTATCACACCCCCTGATTTCAAACTATACTACAAAGCTATAATAGTTAAAACAGTATGATACTGGCACAAAAACAGACACAGAGATCAATGGAACAGTACAGAAAGTCCAGAAATAAACTCAAGCTTATCTGGTCAATTAATCTTTGACAAAAAAGGCAAACACACACAATGGAAAAGATCCCCATTGATGTTCTCTTCAATAAATGGTGCTGGGAAAACTGGACAACTATATGCAAAAGAATGAAAGTGGACCACATTTTTACACCACACACACACACACACACACACACAAACTCAAAATGGATTAAAGACTTAAATGTAAGACCAGAAAACATCAAACTCCTAGAAGAAACCATATGTAGTAAGCTCTTGGACATCAGTCTAAGCAATATTTTTTTCATCTGTCTCCTCAGGCAAGGCCAACAAAAACAAAAATAGACAAATGGGACTACATCAAACTAAAAAGTTCTTGCGCAGTGAAGGAAACTATCAACAAAACAAAAAGGCAACCTACTTGAATGGGAGAAGGTATTTACAAATGCTACGACCAGAAAGGAGCCAATATCCAAAATATATAAAGAATTCATACAACTCTATCAAAAAAAGACCAAACAATCCAATTTAAAAAAAATGGGCAGAGGACCCAAATAGACATTTCCCCAAAGAAGACATACAGATGGTCAACAGACGCGTGAAAAGATGCGCAGCATCACTCATCATCAGGGAGATGCAAATCAAATACACAATGAGATATCACCTCACACCTGTCAGAATGGCTGGTATCAATCAGACAAGTGTTGGCAAGGATGCAGAGTAAAGAGAACCCTCGAGCACTGTTGGTGGGAATGCAAAATGGTGTGGCCACCATGGAAAACAATGTGGAGGTTCCTCAAAAAAACTAAAAAGAAAACTACCATACAATCCAGCAATTCTTCTTCTGGGTATTCCTCCAAAGAAATAAAAAACACTAATTTGAAAAGATACATGCACCCCTATGTTCACTGGAGCATTATTTAAACAGCCAAAATACAGAAGCAACCTAAGTGTCCACTGATAGATGAATGGACAAAGAATATATGGCTGGAATAATGAAATATTCTTCAGCCGTAAGAAAGAATAAAATCTTGCTATTTACAACAACATGGATGGACCTAGATGGTTTTATACTAAGTGAAAAAATCAGAAAGAGAAAGACAAATACTGTATGAATTCATTTATATGTGGAATCTAAAAAAACAAAGCAAACAAACAAAACAAAACTGAAACATACTCATAGAAAACAGAACAATCTGGTGGTTGCTAAAGTGAGTATGGGGGTGGTAGGATGGGCAAAATAGGGAAATGGGATTAAAAGGTACAAATTTTTGTAGGAGACACAATGTATGGCATGTGTTAATAATATGTAACAACTTTGTATGGTGACAGATGGTAGCTAGATTTATTATTGTGATTACCTTGTAATGTATATAAATGTTGAATCACTATGTTATATACTATTGTATGGCAAATACACTTCAATAGAGGAAGGTTTTCCAATAACTGAAGAGAAGAAGGAGGAGGAGGAGGGAGAAGGAAAAGAGGAAGAAAGGGAGGGAGGGGAAGGGGGAGGGGAAGGGGGGAGGAGACAGAGGGGGAGGGGGAGGAGGAAAGAAGTTATCCATTCAGGAGAATAGAATCATCTCTGTGACTCCTCTGTTTCCAGCCCCTGTAATTGGCAGGATGATGACACTATTATCTGAAATGGACAACAGGAAGAAGAGTAGGTTTGGAGAGAAAGCAGTGGTTAAGATGAAGAGTTCCATATCATCACTGAAGTTCAGGGCCTGCGGGACTGCAAGTGCCTGGGACTACCAGGCAGAAGAATTCTGCAAAGGGAAATGTCTAGGGTGAGGAGAGAAGTGACTGGGGACAAATCCCTGCAGAACACCAATGTTTAAGGGAAGAGTAGAAGTAAGACCCATCGGGAAGAACTTTAAGGAATGCTCTGAGTTCGAGAGCAAGAAAAGGCAGCGTCAAAACATCTGGAAAGCAGGGAGTTTCAAGGGGTGACATGTCAAATATAGCAGAGAGGACTTGAAAATATAAGAATTAAAAAGCATCACCCTATAGGTCAATACGGGGGTCACTGGTAAAACATAGGGCAGTGGAGGCAGAAGCCAGATTGCAGACGTTTAAGATGCCAATGCAAAATGGACCAAGTGGAGACAATGGATGTGGACACATTTTTCCAAAAGTGTGACTTGGAAGAGCAATGTCTAGAGGAAGAAAGGACCAAGGGAGGGCTTTGTTTCTTGGCTTTTTGAATAAGAGGTGCTTAAGGATGTTTACACGGTTAAGGGAGAAGGTAAGAAGAAATGGGTGAGATACAGGAGAGGAAGGGAGAGTGGATGGTGGGGGGTCCCAGCAGGAGAGGAGTGGAGGGGACAGGAGCATAGGCTCAGCCTTCCTAGCACTGGAAGGGGTGAGGTGAGGATGAGAGCCTGGCAGCAGGAGGACAAGACTGAGGGAGCTCATGTCAGGTGGCTTCCATTTTCTCAATGAAGTAGATAGCTAGAGGTTTGCTGAGAGGGCAGTTGGTAATAGTGGAAAGGGGTCTTGAGGAGAACGGTAAAAGTTTGAAGAGAGAACAGGAAAGGGTACTCACCAATGACTCAGAAGACCTAGTTGAGGTGAGAGCCCTCATCGAGTTGGGACTCTGTAACACATGATCCCGATAAAGAACACGACAAGGAATTTCGTTAAGACCCTAACACTGTCTTCTAATTTTCAAAGTTCTTACTTGCTAAACATTTTCATTCTGTGATTTATTTATTATTCTGAGATGTACTTCCAGGGGTTTAATGATGGTCTATCTTTCTGACAAAAAGAAGTCTGTCACTCTCTTGGCATTGTCCTTACTTCTGGGGAAGAGATGGATTGTCACGAACTAAATTGACCAGAAGTCAAAAAGTAGGCAAGATAGTCACGGGCTCTGATTCACAGCCTCCTCTGATACTGGACCCTCCAAGGTACCCTCCGATGATCTGATCTGTCTCTTTCTGGAGGCTATAGCAGTCATTGAGTGCAGACGCCAGGGCCAGTGGGTTCAATGGCTCTAAAGGTCTCAAACATTCCTCGAGTTCGAATCTCAGCACAAACACTTAACTGTGTAATCATGAGCACCACTCATGTCTCAGTTCCTTCATCTGTAAGATGGAGATACCAACAGCACCTACTTCATAGGATCATTCTGAAAATTAAATAAATAAATATACATAAAAGCACTCAGAACAGGGTCTGGCCCAAAGTAAGTCTTCAACAAATATCGCTATTTCTGGGTCCCATTCCCTTCTTCGTAGCATCCCTCTTTCTTGTTATATCTTTTGTACTTTCTTTTCTCCCTAATAAATAGCAGCTATAGCTGGAAGTTTTTCTTTTTTTGTTGTTGTTGTTTTGTTTGAATCGGTTTTTTCTTTTTTTTAAGATTTTATTTATTTATTTGACAGAGAGAGAGAGAAGGAGCAGGGGGAGCGACAGAGGGAGAGGGAGAAGCAGACCCCCCGCGGAGCAGGGAGCCCGATGTGGGACCCGATCCCAGGACCCAGGGACCACGACCCGAGCCGAAGGCAGATGTTTAAATGACTCAGCCACCCAGGAGCCCCGATCCAGTTCTTTCTTTTTAAAAGTAATATTTTACGCATTATAAGAATAATTTATGTATATTGTAACAAAAATATCAAATTCTAAACAATCTCATAAGGCAGAAAATAAAAGCTTCCCTTACCCCCGGTGTCATTCCCCAAAAGTAAACATTAAGTTTGTAGTCTGTTATAATCTTTTTAGTTTAAAAATTCTTACCTAAACTTTAACAGAATTTTTCTATGCGCTCATGTGTATGTATTTTTGTTTACAAAAGTGGGACTATATTCTCATCTACTGTTTTGCACTTTTTTTCTCTTTACTAAACAACTTATCACTAACATCTCTTCATGTCAGCACATCCTGATCTACCTTAGTATTTTTTTTAACCACACCGGCATAACCACTCTGTTTCTCAATTTTTTCTTTGAAGGGAAGGAAAAGAGGACTGTAAAGAAAAAAACTCAGAACTGATCTCCTGATTTTAAGGGTTTCTATCTCTACACATGAATATGTCTTTCCTGGTCCCACTCAGACTCACCACTACTTCCTCTCTAACCAAACTCCCAGAGACCATTGGAATATCCATGTGGACTCATCCCATAAATGGATAAAAACTTCCTTGGATTTACTCTTGACGTTTAGACCAGTATAATGGAAAAGTGGCCACTTTCCAAAAGGATTTTTTTTATTTGTCAACACAAGTTTTCATGAGAGATATCTAAAATAATGGCAAGAAATCCAAATAATATGAAAAGTTACAGTGGGTTCCAAATTCTATAATATTGAAGTAAGAAGATTCCCCTATGGGTTCAAGGTGGTCCAGGAGAGGTTGGGGGAGGGCTAAAGGCCAGAGCTGTGACTGTAATTGTGGTGGAACTTTCTGGAATCCTGTATCTTTCCATAGATAATAAGTTTGCAAAATTAGCAACTATTGCAAACAACACCTGAAGAAGGGGGTTAAATAATGCTTCTGCTTTATTTAAGTCAAATTTTAACTGTGAAAGGCTTTGTCCTATACAACTTTTTGTGTTCTCCAAACAAGAAAGAACAGAGAATGAGATATTTAAGGGTAATTTTCTATACGACTGAGGTAGAGAGTAAATTTATGGGGGCATGATTATCAAGGGCACTTGAAATGCCATTACACTTAGCCCTATGTAAATTTCAAGAACAAATGCATTGATGATTACATTGCCTTTTGCTTCTCTGCCAGCTATCATTTTTCCTAACCTGGCAGAAATGTAAAAAATTAACCTACCTCTTTTCCCTTGACTAGAAAAACGAAGAAGCATCAATGAGGAGAAATGTTCAAAACACAGATTGTATTTCAGGCTCTTACAGATCTCTGCAGGGGTATTTGCTCCTGTTAAAGTGTCTGAGACCAAAGATGCATTGCCTGTCTGGGGCCAGGCTCCCTGACTCTCCCAGCCTGAAGCTCCTGCCTTACCTGCCGCATTATGCTGGTGATACCAGATCAAGTCAGGGATTGATTGAAAGAGGTGTCTTTCAGCCACGTACCACTGTCCTGAGTCATTCTTTTTAATCTGATAATGTTTGATGGTAGCCTCCATATTTCTACAATCAATAGAACGTGAATTAGTAAACAAGCAAAAGATCACTTTGGAACTAAGTCAATTCGTGAAGCGACAGGACTCCACCTCTAAAACTTTTATCCTAGTGACACTACACACTGCAGAGTGGGTTAGATTCAACTGGTGCCTCACCACGCCTGGGTAAATTCCTGAGCCGTCTTATTGGGTCCTTAGATTCGAACATAACCTCAGCCAAAGTTGTCTAGTTGACAACTCCTGTGTCCAAAATAGTAGAGCCTGTTAGGGACACTTATAAGTATTTAGTTATCAGTTCAATGAGTGAATAAATGCACTGCGGGGGATATAAGGAGATATGAAACAAAGAAAGGAGGAAAACTGATAGAGAGTATATTGATGAGCAGGTTTGCTATAGCTACTGGGGCTCTAGGCAGCCCCGAGAGACTGTGGAACACATCTGAGAATTGTCCCACGAAAGTGCAAAGGAGCTGAGGGGCTAATCTTCCATTCCTCATTGATGGAGGGCTGCTCCTAGGATGCTACCTCTCAGGCACCTCCAGTATACCCATGGACCCCGAGTTCCCACAGCCAGAGAACATCCTCCAGCAGAAAGGCACAGAACGCTTTCTGAGTGCAGGAGAATGCTCTGCAGGTAAACCCCAAGGGATATGAGGAAAGGACCACCATTGTCTGCTACCACTAAGCCAACTTCCTCATGGTTGAGAAAAGGAGATGGGAGGGAGAAGTCCCTTAACTTATCAAAGTCACACACAGAGCTTGTGAGGAATACAACTCGAATTGATCAGTTTAACTAACTTCCAGGCCAGCAATCTTCTGTGCTAAGACCTCTCTTTCTCCATGTGACAGTGTCTCACCAAGAAAGACTGTCCCAAGAATTGATACCTCTAAAGTGATCAAAATCACAATTGCTTACCTTCTAGCTTTTATAAACACAGAAATTGTGTAGGATCCCAAATGTCTTGAATCTCTGACAATAAATGCACCCTCTTTAGACTGCAAAACAATTCATTGTACAAATTTAGTCATTATTAGGAAGAAAGACAAACCTACATCTCAGGAATGAAAACCAAACCATACTGACTTACTACAAGTGGATAGGATTGTTTTCACAAATATATGCAATCTTATCTCCCTTATACGTTAAGAAGTCACACCTACAAAAATATTTAATTGGGACAAGAATTTGTAATGTATGAGTATTTTTAAAACCTTGTTCCTGATTTTTCTAAGAAAAATTCTGCATTTGACAACCTTGTACCCCACCATTTCATTATTTTTGTTATATCAATCAAGGTAATTAATACACATTGCTGATGAACAGGAAGCGCTGTGAGACAGATTGGCAGGTTGTATTTTGGGAGAAAAGCAACAACACAGCAGGTGGGGTGAGGGAGGCAACAAGAAATACATCTGGGAGCAGGGAGTGGGAAAAGGGAGCAGAATCCATGACAGGGATGGAGAGAGAATAAGCTTTGAGGGAGTCTGGAGAGAAGAGCGGATGAGTGATTTTAGTTGCCGCCAGGGTATGGGAGAGACAAGAAGGGAATGGGCAGGAGAGAAGAGTATTTTAAGTTTGATGTTGGGTTATAAATTGGATTCCCACTGACGTCCTCTGGGAAGCCCCAATAAAGCTGTAAATTGTTTTCAAATGACTTGGAATGTTGGACTGTTTGGTTTGTATTATTTGTTTGATATTATAAAAAAAAAAGTTTCCACCTTTACTTAGTGTGTTTGCACTTGTGGAGAGGGAAACATCTCAGAAGCTTGCCAAACGTGTGAAAGTTTACACTTTCGAAGTGCCAACAACTTGCCTGAGAATTGCCCTAACCCAACAAACACCATGGTGTAACCCTCAAAGTGAGCACGATACATTAAGCAAAGTCTTCTCTTCCTTCTAGATGCTTACCAAGGAACAAGCCTCATTTTCTGGTCAGATTTTTAAAACCAAAAAATCTCTTACAGCCATTTGAAATAATAAAAATCTAGCTTTTATTGAATTCCTACCATGTCTACAGATTGTGTTACAAACCATAGAGGACAGAAGATATAAAAGATGAAGATGTAAAAAGCAAAGTTGTACGTACAATAGCTACATAGGTAGTGTATACACACATACGCAGAGATACTATGCATTCAATCAAGTTGTCTAAGCAGTGACCTCCTCTTCAAGGTGGAAAGAGTGCAAACAGTCATGACCACAACGCAATAAAAGGAGAAATTAATAACAAGCCCCAAAGGAGAAAGCTACTACTGCATGGATATTTTTAAGTTCTCTTTTATATAACTCAAGGAAATTCAAATAAAAATGAAAACATCTAGAAAATAATAAAGAAATGCCACATATCGGAAACTCTGCTATAGAGTTCAAACAGTACTCAGCCTTAATGCTTACACCAATAAACAAAGGAAATACAAAATAAATGTATCTGCCTCAAGAAGTTAGGGCAAGAACCAGGTCAAGTGGAAGAAAGAAATGAATGAAGACAAAAGCAGAGGACAATCAATTATAAAAACAAAAATATAATAAAGCTAGTCATTAAGTTCAAAATCTGGTTATAGAGGGAAAAACGATGAAATAGGTAAGTTGCTAACCAGTCTAACCAATAAATAAGAGGGGAAATATATCAAAAAAATAAGCCACAAAGATCCAGAAAAAAATGAAAGCATCACCTTGACTCTACACAATACATTTGAAAATTTGAATGAAATGAGTGATTACCTAGCAAAATATAAAATTTATCAAAATTGATTCCAGAAGATCTGGAAATGTTAATGGACCTACTGAATGGGAAAATGGATAAGGCTTTAAAAGAGCTACAACATTAAAAACACCACAGAGGACATATTGTGATGTTGCATGATTCCAGAGCATGTGAAAAGAAGAAAAACTTCTAAATTTTTATATAAAGTGGGTTTAACATCAACACCAACAATACAGCAAAGATTGTGCACAGAAGGGAAAACTAACAAATCTCACTCGCGTCCACTCAAAAATCCTAATTAAATATTAACAAACTGAATCCAGTAGCACAGTGGAAGAATATATACCATGACCACGAGGGATTGCATACAGGAATGAAAAAGTAATTCAATATTAGGGATTTTATTAATTCATCCTACTAACAGATCTGAGAAGAAAAATCTCATGAACATCACCATAGATATTGAAAGGGCATTTGACAAATTTCAACTTCTAGAATCAGTTTTCTTTAAATTCTCAGTAAAATAGTAATAAATGTGTACTTCTGTAATACAATAGTCCATATTTACGTTAGTCCCAAGTCCAGCATTATGTTTTCCGTGAGAATCATTCCAACTAAAATCAGGAAAAAGAAATGCCCACTGCCAGCACTGGTATTTTAATATTGTTCTGAGATGCCAGCTAATACAATTAAATGAGAGGCCAAAAAAAAGAAAGAAAGAAAGAAAGAAAGAAAGAAAGAAAGAAAGAAAAGAAACCAAACCAAAACAAAAACCCACCAAGAAATACTGTATTAAATTGTAAAAAGGAGTTGAAATCATCACTGTTTGCTATTGATAAGAGTCTACCTGAAACTCATGAGAATCAACTAAAAAACTACTACCAAAAAAAATTTTGAATTCACCAACTCTTCTGTTACAAAATTAATTCACAGAACTCAAGAGCTTTCATAAGTTAAAAAAAAAAAGATACCCATTTATAGTAGCAACAGAAAAATACACAAACAAATGTGCAAGAGCTATATGAAGAAAACTTTAAAATGTTCCTAAAGGGGCTCCTGGATGGCACAATCAGTTGGGCGACTGACTCTTGGTTTCTGCTCAGGTCATGATCTCAGAGTCCTGAGATCAAGCCCCGTGCTGGGCTCTGCACTCAGCCTGGAGTCTGATTGGAATTTTTCTCTCCCTCTCCTTCTGCCCCCCACCACACCGTGCACATGCTTTCTCTCTCTCTCTCTCTCTCTCAAATAAATAAATAAATCTTTAAAAATAAATCAATAAAATGCTCCTAAAGAATATAAAGATATTTGCTTTTCTCATTAGATTTTCAATCCATCCAAGATTTATTTTTTTTTTGAAGTAGGGACCTAATTTTTAATTTTTTCTACAGGAATATTTAATATGGGTCCCAGAACAAATTGGTGCCCAAACCCCACTGATTTGTAATGCCCAACAATTTTCCCTAAATTACTCTGTAAATTTAATACACCAGCAGGAAGGTTTTTAAAACTAGGCAAAATAATTGTGAAGTTCATATGTATAAAATATATCTCCAGAGTATTTCTGGAAAAGAAGAGTGAGGGAGGCTAGCCACACAAAAAGAGCCTCAGTATTTGAAATATTATAAAGGTATCACCTAAATACACAGGCTGATCAATAAAACCAAGTAGTGAGTTCAGATGTAGTCCAACATAGGGGGTGTGCTTATGATGAAAGTGGTACCTCAAATCAATACAGAAAAGATAGACACTTGGTAACGATCTAGAAAAAATAAAATAAAATCAGATCCATACCTCACTCTACATCAGGAATAATTACAAATGAATCAAACATGTCTATGTAAAAAATAAAACCACTGAAGTAATCAAGAAACATGGGCATTTTTTTTTTTTAAGCTCAGAGTGGGTAAGATAATGCTAACCTGACACAAAGCTTTAAAAAATTTGTCTGATAAATTCAAACACATAAAATTTAAGCACTATTCATGGCAAAAAAAATATGACAATTGAAAAACTGGGAAAAGTATTGCCACATATCACAAAGAGCTAATTTCCTTAATGTAGCTACATAGGTCCTACGAATTGTGAGGAAAGCATTAAAAAAAAACAATAACAACAGAAAATTTTGCAAAGGATATGAACAGACAGCTTACAGAAAAGGAGATACAAATATTTAAAATTTCATATACATAGAGATGCTTAACATTCTTGGGATAGGAGAAATGTAAATGAAACCCACACTGAGATGAGATGTCAGAGAGCAAAGTGCCACACATTTCATTAAACATTTGCTGGAAAGGTTGTGAGAAAATGGGCACTCTTACAACTTTTAGCAGGTATGTAAATTGTATAACTCCTGTAGATGGTATTTAATACCTCCCCAAATTAGAAATGTACATTCCCTTCGACCCAGAATTTCTATCTTGGGGGATTTATCCTACATATATACTCACATAAATGGGAAAAGATGTGTAGGTAGGTTACCTATAGCAGCACTGTTTTTGTTTTATTTTAAAGATTTTTATTTATTTCTCTGACAGAGAGAGAGACAGTGAGAGAGGGAACACAAGCAGGGGGAGTGGGAGAGGGAGAATCAGGCTTCCCGCTGAGCAGGGAGCCCGATGTGGGGCTCGATCCCAGGACCCTGGGATCATGACCTGAGCCGAAGGCAGACGCTTAACGACTGAGCCACCCAGGCGCCCCAACAGCACTGTTTCAATAGCAAAAGAGTGTATACCACTTAAATTCCCATTAAATTTTTTTAAAGATTTTATTTATTTATTTTAGAGGAGCACAAGCAGGGGGAGGGCAAGAGGAGGGAGAGAGAATCCCAAGCAGACTCTGGGCCAAGCGCAGAGCCCCACGCAGATAATCCCATAACCCCAAGGTCACAACCAATCGGAAACCATGAGTCCAGTGCTCCACCCCTCCATTAAATTTCTTAAATAAAGTGTGATATGTCCAATGTAAGAAATACTATGCAGGTGTAGCATGAATGAGGACACTTTCTGTGTATTGACATGAAGAGTTTCCTTCCCAAAACATACTGCTGAGTGAAAAAAGTAATGTACACAAGAGTATATATAATATGTTACCATTCGTGTAAAAATAACAATATAAGAAAATATATTTCTATTTGTTTGTGTATGTATTAAATATCTCTGAAAGGACACGAAATAAATTAATAACAGAAGTTGGTCTATGGGGAAGGGAACTGGTATCTTGGGGACAAGGATGGGAGAAAACTTCAAAATCTTTTGCTTTTTAAACTATATGAACATGCCATTGAAATGTGAAATAAATAAAATTATAAAATACTTCTATAAAAATTTTTGCAATCAATTTGAAAATAAATATAAAGTAGGCAATTCTCCACGTAAATATAAATTGTCAAACATCTCAAGAAGAAAAGGAAATTAAATCGGTAGTCAATTATCTGTTTGAAAAAGCTGCATGTCCAAACTATTTTATGAGAGATATATGTAACTTCAAGGAGCAAATAACTTCTATTCAATATAAACTATTTTAAAGATTGGAAAGAGACAAAACCTCATGTCCCAACTCATTTTATGATGCTAGTATAGCCTTTATACTAAAACTAAACAAAGAGAGTGGGAAATTAGAAGCCAGGCCTCTTGTGAACATAGCAGGACAAATGCTAACTAAAGTATTAGGAAACTCAAACTAGCAATATATATGTTTTAAATGCCTCATGATCAAGTAGGATTTAATCCAGGTACTTAAAAAAATAGAAAATATATAAATTACAAAAATATTTTTAGATATATAGGAAAAATATGTATATTTTTTAAAATATCCACACATATAACACACACACACACGCACACACTTTAGACAGATTAGGACCTAAATAGGAAAAGCAAATCTTTAAACCATTTAAAAGAAAATATCACTTTATCACTTCAGGAGAGAGAATTTATTATACTGAAAAAGGAAAAAAGAGAGAGATCATAAAAATTGAGAAATTTGACATTAACATATTTTAAAATTTAAAATAAGAAAAGAGCATAAAAAATTTTAGGGCCAAAAATCAAAAGAACATAGTGAAAAATGAGCAAAGGGTATTAGCAGACCTGTAATAGCAGAGGAAGCCCAACTAGCCAGCACAGACATGGAAAGTCACTCAATTGAACTGTTTATCAAGGAAATGCACATTTTAAAATATATATACCATTTCTCAGTGAATCAAAGAAAAGCTACCAACTGTTGGCAAGAATGTAGGGGACCAGTTTTCTCATCTGTTGTAAGGATATAAATTAGTACAAGTACTTTGAGTCATGATTTCAAAATATCTAGCAATACTAAGTCTGCACATAGTTTCTGACCAGATCATTTCTGGGTATAACCCAAGAAACCCTTGCCCTTGTGTACAAGGTGATATGTGCATGGAAGTTCTTGGCAGCATTGTTTATAATACTAAGAAGTTAGAAACAAGGTGAATGATTAGTAATACGTTTGTTATACTCAACTAATGAAATAGCAGTTAAAGGAATGTGTTTGCTCTTTATGTATCCATGGGAATGAAACTGAAATACAATGTTTCGTTAAGAATCAACATATGCATGATCTCCCTTATGTCAAATGTTAAAACACATAACACTATAGGCTGTTCATGCACCTATATATGATAAAAATATAAGCACATGGATGCAGTGGGGGCACACCCTTCTATGGTGATTGTCTCTGCAGAGTGGGCAGGGACAAAACCGATGAGGGAAGGGATGGGTGTCAATTGCATCCGCCAGGTTTTATTTTGTCTAAGAATGTTATAGCCAAATGTTGCTATTTGTGCTGTCTGGGTTATGGGTGTGTGGAGGTTTGTTACATAACTCCCTGATTTAGTCTTTGCAGGGAGGTCAGCCCCCACTCTGTTCTGGCTCCCTGGCAGGCGCAAGAGTCTCTCCTGCTGATCCCACACAGCCCCTGTGATTTTGGCCCTATCACCTGTACTAACTTGCCTACCGCGGACCGACTTCAGAATTTTCCTTCTCCAGTTCTGCCTACTTGTCATAACATCTGTGTCCATTCTAGACCTACTAATATCACTTTACAGGAGGCCACCTGCTGTCACCATGCCAGGTGAGTCCCACATTTGCTGCCGCGTCCCATTTCCTCCTAGCCAGTGAAGCCTCCTTCCCCACCACCAGCTGAGACTGGGTCTGGATCACTCAAACTCTGTCTAACCCCCTGCTATTCACCGGACCTCCCCTCTGTCTTGAGGCCTTACTGGCATTGACTTTGTAGTTCCAGAACTGATTCTTTCTCACTCATATTTCTAGATTTCCTCAACATCTGACAGCAGGGCAAAGTGACACACATACCTCTTACCTAGTTTCTAGGTTTGACTCTACATTTACCCACAGTTCGTATTTACCGTCCGTTGGAAACTATATGCACTTTTGTTTTGCTTTGACCTAAAAGAGCAGTTTTGATCTGAGTTTGGTATTTTGGCTACCTCACTCTTCCTTTTGTTCCCAAAGAACAAAGAAAGTGCAGCACTCAGTATTTTTCTCTATTTGTGTTTTTAAGAAGCCTTAGCTAAGCTCATGAAGACAGAGGATATATTTTATTGTCTGTGATACAAAGGTGTATGGGCAATTCCAATATAGACTCTACTGCGGGATGCACTTTGGAGTGAATGAGGAGTTTCAGTATGTTGGAGTTGAAATCATTTCAGGAAAAATACACTTCTCAAGTTACAATTGAAGTAAATGAAAAACATGAGCTGATACAAATACATCTGGTTTACAACTTATCGGAAATTGCACAGTAGAGATAAAGTAATAATATTTTATAACTGAAAAGAACAAGAAGTAATAAAACTTTTTAGTTTGGTCAAATCTTTACAATGTACGTGTTAGAAATTTTGAAAATATTCACAAGTTATTCATGAATAAACTGAATTACCTCTTGTCTCAAAATACGTTCTGCCTGATTTCTGGTAATGTTTCTATGGTACCACCTGTAAAAGCAATAAAAATAATTTTAAAATTTTGTATTCTATTTTTTCCAGAAAAAAAAAAACCCTGCTTCATTTCCTTCATTTTTAAGAACTTTACTCCAGAACTGATTTTAGAAAGCTGAGCGTTTTTTATTTCTGATAAACAACAATGTACTATTATGTGTCATTTAGTATAATAGTTTTATTAATTGTAAGCCGATACCTAGTTTATTCTATCATATCTCAATTCAACTTTCTGACATATACTTAGTTTATGATTTTGAGCGATTTAATCTCCTGAAAATTTTCATGAAACGTATGTGGTTAAGAAGTCAATAAACATTTACTGAGCTTTGGTAGACAAACTAAAAAATACCAATTTCTTTCTTTGCTTTTAGGAACTTCCTATTTGCATGCTTTCATATGTGGCCCTGTTACCTTTCTAAAATTAAAACGTACTCTGACCCATTTGACTCCCCCAAGTATGTTAACTTGTAGTAAAGTTAGTGGTTTAATAATGTAAATGGAGCAACTAGTACCTGCCTTGCTCCAAACACCCTCTTATCTTTCTGCTTGTCCTCCCCTCATGCTAAGCTTCGGCCATATTGGGATTCTTTCCTTCCTCAAATTTACCAAGCCCCTTTCTGCCTCCTATCTTGCTGTTTCCTCCGTATGAAAGATATCATGAAATGACTTTAGAATATCGGATCCTCTCACAGTAAACACAATTAAATGAGTATAATTGAAACCCATAGTTTGGCAGAATAAGACCTAGTCAGTAAGCAAATGTTGTACAGGAAAGAGAGAGGAAATGGTAGAACAAAGGAGAGAGAAAACAAATGGAAAGGTTTTCATTTCAAAATAAGATTTTAAAAAGGAGTTAAGGGAATATTACCAGAAATGCTATTTTTGTGCACAGTGGAAGGAAGAATGCATATAAAACCATACACTGAGTCACAGTGGGTAGGCCAAATGGTGGCCACATGAAAATCCTCTATCTGACTTTGAGGACAGAATCTATCATATCTTGTGGACTGACCTGCAGTAGTAAAAAGCTGCCACTAAATTAGAATGGTCACATATTAAAAATACTAATGGCCTCAAGTTGAAAATGAACTTTTAAAAAGATAAAGCATAGAGAAGAGAGGATGATTACAGGTGATTCTAGATGAAACCCCTGGACTACTTATCACTAGTGGGAACAGGAGTTAATTGTGATGCTGGACTGTGAATATCATTCAGTACTTTTTAATGAATATTCATACTGGGGGAGGGACTTTCAGAATGAGTCTAAGACCTCTTGCTGTAGAAAGAAGAAATTCTTTCAAAATAAATGAGAGAGGGTAAGCATCTGCCTTTGGCTCAGGACATGATCCCAGGGTCCTGGGATGGGGTCCCGCAGTGGGCTCTCTGCTCAGTGGGGAGTCTGCTTCTTCCTCTCCCTCTATCCCTCCCCCCACTCACCCAAGAGTGCATGTGCCCATGCGCGCACACGCTCTCTCTCTCAAATAAAATCTTTTTTTAAAAAGTTCACATAAATTGTTTTCTTCTAAATGTTTCTCACCTGCAATCACATTAAGTGTTAATTTTGTTGTTTTGTACTTATTTATTATGGTGATAAGTAATATAAGCAAATATATTAATTTTGCTTAAATATAAGTTAAAAATCCATCCATGTGTGGATGTCATTAAAATGACTTCAAAGTAGTAAGAGAAGAACCAGGGACAAGTATATGATGAATTTCATATCCTTTAAAATAATGCAGAATTTCAACAGGCAGAAAAAAGAATAGATGGATATGATATAGGAGAGGTGGGGGGGCATGCTGTTTCAGAATTTCATCTGGTTAAATCAGATAGTGAAGAAGACTTTTGTGTTTTGTTTTGTTTTGTTTTTAAATAGGTAAGGCTGCAACTCTTATGCCTAGACAACACTGATTATAAAACTCATACCGAATGATGTGGACAGAGGGCTTAGGGTGGGGCTTCTACTGGCATATGAAAACCATCCAGCATGTCCAAGTATTGCCAAGCACAAAGGTCTTATGTATATGTAAGCCTCGGGTAACCCTGTCCCAGTCTTAGAATCAACAAGTAACAGTATTGTGGTCTTGAGTTTTCAATCTAGAAACCCTGTTAGATCTAAGATGGTAAATCTGCTTCTCTTAGTCATTTTTTAACCCTGAGAAAATGAAACTTTCAATAGAGAGAAAATGCAATAAATGAAACTCATACTTCTGTAAAATTCAGCATAAGCAATATGTTTGATATTGAAAGTATCTATTATTGGGGCACCTGGATGGCTCGGTCAGTTAAGCAACTGCCTTCAGCTTAGGTCATGATCTCAGGGTCCTGGGATGGAAATCCACATCGGGCTCCCTGCTCAGTGAGGAGTCTGCTTCTTCCTCTCCCTCTGCCCCTCCCCCCACTTGTGCTCACTCTCTCTCTCTCTCAAATAAATAAATAAAATCTTTAAAAAATAAAATAAAGTATTATTTTAAGAGAATCGGACATACTCAGTTGTAGCCTCTGATTTTAAATGCAAAATTAATTTTAAACTTACAATTTGAAGTTTAAGGGAATTTGATTTTTTAAATGTTTGTATGGTTACGAGAATTTGGCTTACCACATTTAAGTTTAATTTATTAGATTTCTGGGATCATATATGGACTTACAAAGGGCTATTGAAATTGTAAATTTGCCCTGTCAGGCATGTAAAATATTTAAACAGAAAAATGAATTCATTCAGTTTATTAGTGCAAGTGAAATGTTTTGGGAAATTTAATTAACTGAGCTTATAAATAGGACTGATTGTTTAAGGACACTGTTGAGTTTGAATTAAGGTGACTGTTCTTATTTTTTTAGATTTATAAACAGTATGTCAAGATTTGAAGGCTTACTGAAAACCAGGTTTTCACATTGTAATGATGATAATTTGGATATTAATTTAAAACCAAAGTAGCCATAAATATTTCAAAGTATGAAGGTTCCCCTGAGATGTCGGAAGCCTACACTAACATAGCATTCCTTCCCCATCCACCCCTCTTCCTTTAGACCTCAAGTCACTTCCTCAGAGGTCTTCCCTATCCCAATATTCTCATCTTTTAGCCTTCCCCATTGATTTCTCCCAGTGTCCCATACTGTTCCTTCATGACACCACAATTAAAAAAAAAATTTTTTTTTAAGATTTTACTTATTTATTTGACAGAGAGAGAGAGAGCACAAGTCGGGGGGGCAGCAACAGAGGGTGAGGGAGAAGCAGACTCCCCGCTGAGCAGGGAGCCCCATGCAGGACTCCATCCCAGGACCCTGGGTTCTTGACCTGAGCCGAAGGCAGACGCTTAACCCACTGAGCCACCCAGGCACCCCCACAACTTAAAATTTTATATTTATTTGTGAATTTGAGGTTTATGTTTAATGTCTCTTTTCCCATGAAGCTGTAAGTTCCACAAAAGAAGGGAGTGCATCTATGTGTTATCTGTTGTATCTCCAGTGCCCAGAACAGCTAACACCCGGCACATCATAGGTGGACAATAAATAAAGATTGAACAGATGAGTGATTCAGGGGCAGAGGTAACTATGAAATGTGGTACCTCTGTAACAGCAGGCAAACTGGGAATGCCCTTCCTGTTAGCTTCACGGTTCTAGAATGTATCAAATATTTACTATGTCCTACATGAGACAGGTATCACAGTTCCAAGTTTTCATATCATTTAGAGGTTTATAGATATTCAGTAATTCTGCCCAGAGCCCAAGCATTAGTCAGTGGTGATGACAGGATTTGAACCCAGATTTCTCCAATTTCTAAACCTATACTATAGTATTTCAACCTAGGGCCATAATTTCTACACAGTCATTAAAACGATGCTTGGCATATAGTAAGTGGTGGATATATTTTAGTGATTTATATTGATAATTATTATATCTATATTTTAACAAACCCCTTTAAAAAGAAACAGAAATAAAAATTAATTTTCTCACAATTAGAAAATTAAAGAAGATAACTTTCAAAGACACATAAATCAAAGCCAAGAAAATGAGATGATTATTTTAAGTTCAGGGTAGTTTAATTCAAATTACCCAATATCTACAGTATGAACAAGCTGTTAAGGGCAGACTCCAACCCTCAGCTAAACTAAGGAAGCAGCCAGCAAATTAATTAATAATGAAAGGAAGGAAAGTCACACTGTTGCTTAGTGAGCATCCATTTACTCACTACCGGGCACTGTGTTAGGTACTTTCACACATATCACCTTTAATCTCCTGGAAAGTCTGAACTGGGTTTACGATATGGAAAAAAAGTCTTCTTTTTCTTAACAGGAGATTTTCACACAGAACTTCCCCTGACCTGACCTTCAAAAGAGACCTCTTGTGTTGGGCAGCTCCAGTTGGGGGCAGTGGCGAGCCCCCCAAGGTGAAGGTAGAGAGTTGTGAAACTGTTTTCTTAGAATGGTGTGTTCAGTCACCTAGGGCCTTTGTCCTACTGGGTGGAGGCTAGACTTTTGGGGCAGAGCTAAATGACTCTGGTCAAGAGAGGGGGCATGACAAGCTGAGTGAAGGACAGAGAAGACAGAAGAGATCTGTGATGGTACTAAGCGGGGAGAGGGGAGAGAGAACAGAAGTAGCTAAGAGAGAAGCCTGGTAAAGTCATGTGGATGTGTCATGTGTCCTGTAGTCATCCCTTTGTCCCCTCCAATAAAGTCTACATTATTCACCAATGCTTTTAAAGATTTATTTATTTTAGAGAGAGAAAGAGGGCGTGCATGCGTGTGCCCATGTGAGTGGGGGGAGGGGCAGAGGAAGAGAATCCCCAGACAGACTCCCACATGGGGCTCCATCCCATAACCCATTAGATCATGACCTGAGCCAAACCAAGAGTCAGATACTCAACCAAGTGAGCCACCCAAGCGACCCCCACCAATACTTTTGGAATTGGATTTGCTTTAGGGAGAGAGATGCTGAGTCTGGCCTCCACATGGACTTAAATTAGTAGCAAGGCAGACACCTAGGGGCTGGGAAGGAGGGGTTGGTTCTCATTCAATTTATATTTGCTGCCTGGTTCTCTGAGAAGCACCTGTCTTCATGCCTCAACCCACATCACCTACCGCCATAAGGCTGGAAGCATATGCTAATCGCAAAGCGAGTATCTAAACTGGGGGAGAGCACTCAAATGCTAAAACTTATGCAAACCTGAATTTATAAAAGACTAGGACTACTCTCAGTTCTGCCACTCTCTGCTTGTAAATTACTCTCACAACCTTAGTTTCTGATCTGCAGAATGGGGGGCTAGAAAAGTGATTGCTAAGATCTCCATCTTCCAAATCTATCATTGTAACAAAAATAAGTTTCTAAGCAGAACCTTAGTGAACACGCCAAAAGTTCCCCCCAAACTACAGCATTAGCCTGCTTCTCCTCTTTAGCTATTTCTAAAACGTTTCAAAATATAGTTGTGTGTCTCTATGTTAGGCTCAATTTACCACTCATTAAAAAACTAAGGTCATTTTTGAAATAGTTATTTTTCCATTTAGGACATAGAGTAAAACAAGACCAAGATGAGTGTTTGGTTTCCATGCAGTCACTGTTAAAACAAACCCAAAAAAGTGGTCATAAAAAACAAAACAAAAAGAAGTGTAAGAAAAAGAAGTTTCTGAATCAACCATTATAAGGATCAAAGATCTCTCAAACTAAAGCATACAGATGTGTTACTTTCTTTTCCTTTTGTAGACCAAAACCAGCCTCTATACTCGTAAGCCACCCAAATGTACCTGATTTTTCATAGATCAACCATAGAGCATATTTTGGAGGAGACTTACTCATATATTTCTAAATTGGTTAGTTTGTTCTCAGTCACATAGTTGCTTGGGATTAAGCCTTCATTCCTACAACAAAAGAGAAAGCCAAAATCAAAATGCTTGGCACATCTGTGGCATTATCGTGACAACAATCCTTTTAAAACATCAAGGACATAGGAGGAAATCAAACTCGTTTTACTGATTAAATTGCTAAAAGAAGAAAAAGGATTTTTCATTTCCATATTCAACCAAAATCTCTGTTTGACAAATACTAAGGTTCTGACTTACAATGGAAGTAATTTAAGATGTTTCGTGACACCAAAATTTTTCAAAGAGGGAAAGCGGCACTTACGAGATCATTGGGATGTCATAGTGACTAGATTAAAAACACAGCAACAACAAAGATATCAACTTAATTCTTTTGAATTGCTGTAAAACAGGTAGAATAGATATTCTGGTTTAGCCATGTCCCTATTATAGCAAATGCTGCAAAGAAACACATGAACATGCCTTCTTGTGCACCAGGAAAAGTAATTTTCTAAGACAGATACCAAACGGGGAAATTGCTGGGTCACCAAATATGTGCATCTCCCCTTAGATACAGCAAATTGCCATTGAAGGAAAACATACCAATTTACACACCCATCAGCAGGGTAAGGGCTTCTCTTTTTCTATACTTTCACCAACAAAATTTGAAATTATAAAACTGCAAAAAGATCTCCATGACATTATTGAAAAATCCAAGCAAGTTGCAGAACAACTCACAAAGCATGGTAAGAATTAGGTAAACTAAATCTGCAAATAAGAAGGTGTATTTCAATATGTGCATGAAAGTGCATGGAAAATTTTCCAGAAGGGTACTCACTAAGTGAATAACGGTGCTGGGGTTTTGAGGCATTATTTATCATGGTTGCATATTATAAAAAGCGATATTCACTTATTAACTTTGAAATTAAAAGGTAATTCGTCTTTTTTTAAAGTCTGAGTCATGCCAATGCCAACCTGCAGGAGGGCTAATTACATGGTTCTGAACCTATTCATACCTCTTTTCCCACTGAAAAGTCTCCATCACATGTTAAGTCGAAACTAAAAACTGGCAAGAGAGCCAAACCATCAGGAAAATATAATTAAAGAAAGAGGTATATAACTAGATACTTCTAATACACAGATACTTATCATCTCCAAATCATCACAAAGAATAGAAATCAAATGTCAGCATTCTCTTCCAGGCAGCCCAGATCCCCCTCAGAATCATCTACCTCGGACTCTAGTCAGGTACAATCTATTGCTCCCAACATGATGAAGTCTGTTTGCATCCCAAGGTCTTTTTTTCCTTCCAATTTAATTCGGCAAGTACTGCAATGTTTACTTCCAAAACTAGTCATTGCAGAAATATGAAAATTAGAGAGATACTATTTCTGTTCCTACCTTAGAGCTTAAGAGAAAAAAGGAGTCAAATACTCAAAGAAAGTATAAATCAGGGAAAAAAACCCTGTATGATAGAAATTATTATTCCCATTTTACAAATAAAGAAACAAAAACACATTAAAAATAGAACTACCATATGATCCAGTGATTCCACTTTTGCTATTTATCTAAAGAAAATGAAAACACTAACTCAAAAAGATGTGTGCACCCCTCATGCTCACTGCAGCATTATTTATAATAGTGAAAATATGGAAACAACCTAAGTGTCCATTGATGGATGGATGGATAAAAGAAAGAGGTATATATATCTGTATGTATATATACATACAGATATATATACACACACGCACGCAACAGAAAATTAGTCATAAAACAGGAGAAAATCTTGCTATTTGCAACAACATGATGGATCTCAAGGGCATTATGTTAAGTGGAATAAGTCAGACAGAGAAAGGCAAATACTGTATTATCTCATTTATATATGGAATCTAAAAAAATTTTTTAATTAAAAAAAACAACCAAACTCATAGATACAGAGAACTGATTGGTGGTTACCCAAGGCAGGGAGTGGAGGGTCAGTGAAATAGGTGAAGGGGGTCAAAAGGCACAAAGTTTCATTTATAAAATAAAGAAGTCATGGCGTGTAATGTACCACATGGTGATTCTAAGTCAATAATACTATATTGCATATTTGAAAATCGCTAAGGGAGTACATTGTAAAAGCTGTCATCACAAGAAAAAACATTTTCATGACTATGCATAGTGATGGATGTTAACTACACATATTGTAGTAATCATTCCATAATAGATATAAATATTGAATTATTATGCTGCACACCTGAAACCAATATAATGTTAAATGTCAATTATACCTCAATAAAAAAGGAAGGAAGGAAGGAAGGAAGGAAGGAAGGAAGG